TATTTTACAGTGTTTTAAACCAGTAGGGTTAAAGTTGATTAACTTGTTCAACTGAGAACTGATTTTAACGAACTTTCTTTGGCTCTGATCTTAAACTTTAATGATTTATTCCTAAAACCTGATTAACTGCAGAGTTTAGACCTAAACTCGATTGATTTATTTTAACTTTAAACCATTATTCTGTTTGGTAACATGTTTACCATCTGTTCATTATTAATGCTTAAAAAAACAACTTTATATTAAACCCAAATAAAACTAGTAACATGTTTGCGTTTTATACCTAAAAATTGGAAGCTGAACTATTTAAAACAACAAAAAAACAAAAAAAAATATTAAAACCTTCTTAGAACAGAACCTGGGAGATAATCCAGGTTTAAAGCTGAGGTTCATGTTTAATCTCTGACTGCTGTGTGACTGAATCTGGAATCAGAAAGCTCCACTTTGGATCTGGAACCAACCTAATGATCACATCCAGTGAGTCTGCGCTCCGTTTTCCTTCGTAGCTCAGAAGTTAAATGCTAGTAGATCAGATTTAAACAAATAAAAAGATCATTTCCATCCAGGACAAATAATAAGATCAGATTCAACGAAAAATCTGCAAAAAACAATTTTATCACCAAACATCATGAACATCTTAGGAGACAAATCATTTACAGAAAATAAAAAAAACAAAAACATAAAAAATACAACTAAACTGTTTAGCATTAATGGAAATGAAACATTGATGCTATAAATTCAGACTTTCTCATTAAATAAATAATTTTAACTTCAAACATGAACGACAGAAGTTATTGATCAGCCATCCTGAACTGTGTGACTGGGAATAACCAGAAACTCCTGTTTGGTTCTGGAGTTAAACTCTTCATCCACAGCAGTGAGTCAATCACACCTTCTACTATTACTAAAATAATAGAATAATAATTGATTTAAAGCTGTTCTTATTCTTAGTTCACAATATTTATTTGTTTTAATACATTTCTTATTAGAATATATGATTCTACTGTCTGCATACAGTTTGACTTAGTGTTGCATTATTCTGAGTAAACTTTGAGGTCAATAACAGAATATTTAACACAGATTGACAATAATGCAGCTATAATTATATATTTATAGTGTTTTAATAACGGAGCAGCAAAGTTCTGTCTCTGTGTTTGAAGTTCGGAGGTTTTTGAGTTGATGATGTGAGCTGTGTGACTGCTAATGATAGAAAAATCATCTTTGGAAAAGGAACTCAAATGTTCATCCAGTCCGGTAAGATTAAATCATTTTGCATTAACATTTATATGGCATTTGTATTTTTATCTTTACGCTTTATGATTAAACTTCTAGGAATTAAATCATTACCAATGTATATAGTTTTTTTATAGCAGCACAGTCTGGTTGAACTGATGTAAAATATTCTTTTTTAACTTAAAAAGTAAAATCATTTTGTTTCTTAGTCTCCAGACCATGTTTTCCCTTCAGTTTGACTGTAATCTAGAAAACATAAATCATTAGCTGATCAAATATTCATAGAAATACTTACACTTAACCCTTTAAAGCCTGATCCAAGAATAAAACAAAACAGAAAATTATTATTTTTGGGTTTGAATTCCTTATTTCGCCTTTTAACAAAATATGCAAAAAGAAAAAACAGAAATACATTTTTGATATTAATAATTTATTACTATGCGATATGTCAAGTTTATTTTTTGTGTAGTCTTCTGCCCTCTGTTATCAGGTATATCTGATTGTGTACAATAGGATTTTGAGCAAAGTTTTTACCATTAAATTATGCAAAAGGTGTCAGACGCAAAACATTTCAGAAACCGTATGTATCAAATATGATACATTTGGCATTACAGGGTTAAATATAAAAAAAAATGAAGAGGATTTGTGTTTAAAAATTCAGAATCCTTAGGTTCTTTTTAGATTGTTTTAAATTCAAAGACCCAGAGAGATAGAGAAAGAACCAAACACGCTGCTCTGAATCTGTAAATATTCTTATTCAAACCCTTTGGGTCATAGATGTTCTGGCTCAGGGTGAATCTAGGCAGTGTTTTCTGCGGTGAGTTTGCGCTGAGCAATGTATTGATGTGTGAATGGAGGGATGGGAAAGATCATCTTTGGACCAGGAACTCAGCTCACAATTCAGAACAGTAAGAAAATTCATATTTAATCAGTTCAGAACATTATTATTATTCATTTATAAAAACGCACTTATTGCTGCAATTTACTATAAATCAAGCTTCCATAACAACATGAAGTATCAGAGACTAGAGTTAAGATCACAGCATCACAACAATAACTATCAGTTATTCATATTGACTCATTAAAATACTGATTTCAGAGCAAAACTTAAGAGAAAATGTTTCACATTCTGATTAGATAATCTGTGATTTTCATTACAAACCAGATTAGCTCCACATCAGATGTTTCATAAACCTAGAAAATAATGAATTAATTTTGAATTATTATTTTCCACAACATAAACATAAACAATATTTTTTCACATTATAAAGCTTCAACCAGTTCATTCCTGGTAATTTTCTGGTATGAGCATCAAATATAATCTGAATTAAACCTGAATTAAACTTAAACTGCAGTCGGAAATCCTCCCCCAGCTGAGTTGGTTGTTGTTCATGCTGCTGGCACTGTGTGACTCAGGGCCAAACCAAAATGCAGTTTGGCCGTGGAGTCGATCTGTTCGTCCTAAACAGTGAGTTTTATAACATAAACCTGATCATCTGTTTACTTTTACTATTTCAGAAAAAAAAAATCTATTATTCATTTCTGTAAAAATCTAAATTTTTACACCTCACCCCTAAAAAAAACTATTTAAAGCTAAATAAACTGTTAAAATCTGTTATGCAAATCTAATATTGTTTAAACATGAGCTGGAAGATAATCCAGGCTTAAAGCTGAGGTTCATGTTTAGTCTTTGACTGCTGTGTGACTGAATCTGGAAGCAGAAAACTTTACTTTGGATCCGGAACCAACCTAATGATCACATCCAGTGAGTCTAAGCTCAGTTATCTTTTACCGCTAAATCCTAAATCAGGTGGTTTTCTGACCAAAGATTTTGGCTCTGAGGATAAAAGATAGTTAAACAAATTAAAACCAAAAATATAAATATTTTCCTCCAGGATCAACACTATATTAAACGATAAATGTTTAAATGATTTAATGATAAACTTGATGTACGGAGTAGAAAACAAACTAGATGACTATGAACCATTAAGAACCTGTAAAGATTCTGATAAAGTCCAGAAATAAATCCTGCAAAATCAGCTAAATTAATAACATATATGTATCATTGGGGATATCTGTGTTCATCCAAAAAATATTCTTATTCATTTAGATCTTTTTTTCAGTCCATGTAGTAAAATTATAGAAACTATAGTTACTGAATTTCATTTAACTCTAAGTTATTTTATTAACTTAGGTAAATTGACATGAATTCAATGTGATTTAATTAAAACCCACATTCAGCCGCTCTGGTCGTTAATGTTAGGATCCATCTCAGTGGGTGAATGATGGGACTAAAAGACTGATGTTTGGACCAGGAACTCAGCTTAAAGTACAAAAAAGTAAGATCATAAAACATTAAGCAACATAAAGTGTAACAAACCATTCTGAATATAATAATTTAACAAAAAAATAAATGAATAAAAATCAGCAGCTAAATAAACAACTAAATGGTTAAATAGCTAAAGAGATAAAATATAGATAGCAATTCTTATTAATCAAAAATTAATCAATCGATTCTTGCATTTGAACTAAAATATGTAAAACAAATACCTTTAAAGATTTTGAATAAGAGCAAAAGACGTTATTGATCAGCCACCCTGAACTGTATGACTGTGAATAATCAGAAACTCCTGTTTGGTTCTGGAGTTAAACTCTTTATCTACAGCAGTGAGTAAAAATACTGTTTATTATTTATCACATTTATAAACTACATTAGTAAATAGTTTCCATGGGTTATAGATCTATAATCACATCATCAGCATATAGTTTGATTTAGTGTTACCTCGTTCTGACTCGGTGTTAGAAGTTAGAACTGAGCCGTTTGAATAATGTTGGTATAAAACTGATCTTTGGCAAATTTATGAACACGTTTATCTAAGAACTGACCAATTATTGCTAAAATTCATGTCATTTAAATTTATAAAAATGTTTGCGGCTACAACCACAGAGTCATTCCAAAGAGAACAAAATTATCTATAAATACAATAATTATTTTGGTTCCAGTTATTTCTTTACTAAATATAATAATTATTATGAAATCAAACATTTATAGACACATTTCAATTAACTCTTTCTGTTGGTTAAATGTTATTTTTCTGTTTTCCAAGAGAAAATAACAGATTTCCATGTTGAAGGGCTTTAAATTCACTAATGAACAGTTGCATGCGGATACTTCAGTTTATTCAGTTTAGATCTTTTAATGTTTGAATTCACAGAGAAAATCACCATCAAAAAGACCTGATTCCCTAAATCTCTAAATCATCCTAATCATCTGGCTCCTAATTGACTGTAAAACATGACTGGGTCATAAAAGTTCTGGTTTAGCTGGAAGTAAGCCAGGTTTTTCTGTGCTGAGTTTGTGCTGAGCCGTTTGTTGATGTGTGAATGACGGAACATGGAAGCTGATCTTTGGACCAGGAACTGAGCTGAAAATCCAAAACAGTAAGAAAAGACATTTTTAAAGAACGCAACAAAGTCAGCTCTCAAAACTGCACATTAGCATCGTGTTTTATAAAATCCTGATTAACCAGTACTACAGTAATTTTAATCTGCTCTCCAACGGAGATAAAGTCACTGAACTGGTTGAACTGGGAGTTAATTTACTTTAACTAGGCCAGAATAAATGAATCCTGATAAACTGCAGATTACATTTGCTTAAACTTGTTGACTTGAACTTGCTCTCCTGTGGAAATCCTCCACCCGCTGGGTGGGATGTTGTTTATCTCGTTGCTACTGTGTGAATCTTGGTGGAAGTAAAGTTCTGTTTGGCAATGGAGTTGCTCTACTCGTCGAAAACAGTGAGACGTTTCGTTATTTTCAGGCAGCGATTGTAATTTTTACCTGTTGCATCTGTTGATTGTTATTGTTTTTAGGAAAAAGAAATCACTTGAAAGCCATAGGTTTTTTAAAATAAATTGTAACATTTTGGCATTGCTTTAAAAAATGCTTATGGAGATAAACTATTTAAAACAAATGGAGCCTTAAACATTGTTTAAATCTCACATTTTCTGAGCAGAATTGAAAGATAATCCAGGCTTAAAGCTGAGGTTCATGTTTAGTCTCTGACTGCTGTGTGACTGATTCTGGAGGCAGAAAACTTTACTTTGGATCCGGAACCAACTTACTGATCACATCCAGTGAGTCCAGTTATATTTTGTAGTTAATAATGAACCAGGTCAGATTCTGACTGAAGGTTCAGTAGAGAATTGAGAATTGAGTTTCTGATCTTGGATCCTGTCAGTAAAATTCCTGTAATTATGGCTATGAGGATAAATGTTACTGGATCAGATTTAAACATATAATACAGTTATTCCCCCCATGATCAACAATAAACTATATTCAAATATATAATTTTTTTATTATTACAAATATTACTTTAAATATTTTTCTAGTTGTCATATAGACGCTGGTTTTTAGGCTAAATCTGGTCGGTCGTTAAAAGTCTTGATTTAGTCCAGAAATAGTTCCTGAAACCTGGGCTGTGTTTGGTCGGTCTGATTTTGTCCCACTTTAGTCCAATAATAGACGTTAAACATTGGGTTCAATTTGACGTCTTTTCAACAACACGAAAAGTATGTCTTTTTACATTTCATTCTTCAACCAAACCTAGACGTTGTTTGGACGTTAATCACTAATTTTTGCTCAGTAGGTAATAACCAGTTTTAATTGAACTCCAATTATGTAAATGAAAGTTTACGTGAACGTGTTTGGACCAGAAACTCACATTAAGCGCTCTGGTAGTTAATGTTTGGACGTATGTCACTGGGTGTATGATGGAGGAAGAAGAATCATATTTGGACCAGGAACTGAGCTGAAAATACACAAAAGTAAGATAATTCAGCATTCTGCAACACAAACTGTAACCAACCTTTCCTTGAATAATCACTTTATACACATTTAAAGAAAAGAAATAGCAAATAATAAAGACAAACTAGCTGTTCACCAATGATGAAAATACATTAAATATTCATGCTGGTTTTAATAATGTTTCAAATATTTGTCAACTTTAATCCAAACCAGAAAAAAAACCCTCTAAATACTTCAAAGTTCTTTACATAATTGAAACAAGTAATTGACCAACCATCCTGAACTGTGTGACTGGGACTGGGTCCCAGAAACTCCTGTTTGGTTCTGGAATCAAACTCTTCGTCTCCACCAGTGAGTCCAGTTTTCTTACAAGCAGGTTCTATTTGCTCTACACCTTATTCTACTAATATTTATATTTTTATAGAAGTTTTGACTAAAATATAAACACATGGTTTGACTTGTTCCACATTTATTGAGGATTAAATCTATAAAAATGGCTGACATGAAATAATAATGACAAAGTGTTTAATATAGTTTGATAAGGAGGAGGGTTTTAGTGTATGTGGCATTTATTGGAGTTCTATTAAAAAGTGAAATATTTCTCTTTATAAAGACTTGTTGTTGTTGGGTACTTCTTACATGAGCCTGATTATTTTTTCTCAATTATGTCTCAAACTTTAAACTAAAAACCAAAGAAAAATCTGAAAGCCTTAAAGTCCTGAATAAAAGTTATTGAACAGTCACACTGAGCTGTGTGACTACTAGTGGTTACCAGAAGCTCCTGTTTGGTCCTGGAGTGAAACTCTTCATCTATAGCAGTGAGTCAAATAGAATTTATTAAATATAAAACACTAAATTAGAATCTGTTTCTATTTATCTTAGTCTCAGAAAACATATTTTTTTGTCAGTAAATCTTAAAGTAAAGTATCACATCATCTGCATACAGTTTGACTTAGTATTGTGTTATTGTTGGTAGACATCAACCTTTTTCATGATTTTAAGGTTTAAATCTAAGAAGAAATCTAAAATCACGACCAGATTAATAACGTTAATGGTTTACCATGATAAAATAATAATGGAAGTTGTAAACATTCCTAAAAGTTCTGTCCTTGTGAAGATTTGGTGAAGCTTTTGGGTCGATGGTATGAGCTGTGTGAAATATGCTGACAGAAAAATCTTTAGAAAAGGAGTTAACCTTTTTATTCAGTCTAGTAAAGTTATATTATGTCTGTTTTTATGGTCAGGTGTCTTCTTGATAAATTATTTTAAAATCAAAAATTCTAGAAACAGTCGCATTAACTGTTTATGTTGGTTAGATGGTATATTTTATGTGTTGGTTAATGAACAGCTGTTTGCACGGAGCTCAGGTTTGGTTATGATTTTTAACAATAAAAGACCAGAAAGAAACAAACTAAATCTCTACGTCATCTTCATCTCTGAACTCAAATGGAATAGAAAACATAAATGTTTTGGTTTAAGGGAAACTAGGCAGGATTTTCTGTGCTGAGTTTGTGCTGAGCAATTTGTTAGTGTGTGAATGACGGGACGGGGAAAATGATCTTTGGGCGAGGAACTGAGCTAAAAGTTCAAAACAGTAAGAAAAATATTTCTTTAATTAAATGAGACAGATTTAATAACAGATCAGTCTTTCAATAAAAGACACTTAAATGTAAAATTTACTCAGTATGCAGTTTTATGCGAACACAGTGGTCTTAAAATAAAGATCAGAGAATCACAACAGCAAAAAGATTAAAAGTTTAGACTAAAAGTTTAGGTCTGTTAAAATATGACTTACATTTTTTATTAAAATGTATTGTTTAAATGTTAAATAAATAAACTGTGATACTCGGCATCTTCATATAATTACACTTTACATTCATTAAAAAAGAAAAAGCAATAAACTTCTTTGTATCTACATTTAGAATTCAAATAAATTTTTTTTAACTTCAACTAAAGTCAGAGTCCAGTATAACGTTAAATGTATGTAGCCGTTAAAATGTAATAGAACAGAACTAAATGCTGCAGATGAAACCCAGACAGGTGAAGAACTAAAGGTTCTTCTCTAGTTTTTGTTTGTGGCCGACTGACTGTGTGAATGCTAACAACTATAAACTGCTGTTTGGATCAGGAGTCCTGCTCACTGTTTCACAGCGTGAGTTAGAATTTTATGTTGATTCCTCAAACATTTAAGATTTTTATACAGAGACTTTTAAGTAAAACTGTAAAAAATTAATATGAAAATGGAGTAAAAAATCCTTTATCTTCAACAGAGCCGTGACTTAACACATTTAAACTTCGTAATCTATTTTGAACAATGACATAGATCCAAATAAATCTACCACTGGATAAAAAACACTTATTTTACTAAACATTAGTCGCATCTAAAAACCATAACCACTAGCTTTCTTCCAGATAAACCTCAGTTTGAGCAAAAAATCTGCAGAAAGTTGGGAATAAATGTTCTACATTCCAATGGAAAAGCCTCTGCTTAAAAAAACAACAACAATTAAATCAGATTAGAAAACTGTTGATTCTGCAAAGAGTTAAAGGACAGTTGGGTTTTTAACCAACGTCGGATCGATGTGTGACACAAAGCGGTGTAGCTAAACTCCTGTTTGGACCCGGAACTAAACTTTTAGTGGAGAAAAGTGAGTCAAAATGAACCTTATTTCTAACTTTTATTTTCTTCAAACAGTAACTCATTGTTTTTGTAAAGTTCTCCATCATTCACAGATCCACACATTTATTCCACCTGCTGATAGAACCAGAATCAGCAAAGTTTTATAGACAGAATTTAGTTTCAGTTGAGTCCATTTTGACTGTTTAATAATAATTAAATGTTTATACGGAAAAAAACGGTTCTGCCAAAGACTTAAAGGACAGTTGGGTTTTTAATCAAAGCAGTCATTAAACTCCTGTTTGGAACCAGAAGTGAACTTTAAGCGGAGAAAGTGTTTGGAGCAGAGTTTTATTCTGTACTGCTGTAGTTTAAAAATGAATAAACAGCTTTTCAACACAAAGTTCAAATCTGTACTTCTACTAAAATAAAGAGTAAACATAAAAACTAAAGGACCAGATCCATAAAACATGAAACTCAGAATTTTTAATTGAGTTTAGAAACTGGAGCAAATTTCTGGACTGAACTGGTTTTTGTAACTGGTTTAGCTCCAGTGTGAACAGCAACAACCTTAAAGTCACGTTTGGATCTGGAATCAAACTCATAGTTTCATCCAGTAAGTTGATTTCCTACATTTTAATTATGTTAAATAATATTCTAATATAAATAAACAATAAAATTAAATAATTTATATTTACATTATTTAAGGCGTTTTTTTATGCTCAAAAAGTTTTACATAATATTTCTACACACATTGAGGACAGAAATTTTGAACTTATAAACATTGAATTGTTTAAAAGAAACACCTGGTTTTCTTTCATTTGTTCAAACTGTTAATTTGAGACTTACTTGAACACGTTTGTTCCCCACTTCAGTTTAAATGTCAAAAAATAAGAGAAAAAATGTTTTTAATCTATATCAAACAGCTCAATAAGTATTTTAATTATGTGATTAAAGATTTAAACCATAGGAGGACGTCTGTAGATTTAACTAAATTAGCATAACACATTTGATTTATTTGATTGTTGAAGATAAAAATTGAGAAAATGAAAACAGATGTTACCTTAAAGGGTAAAGGTTCTGCTTTTTGTAATTGCTCGGTTGGTTGTGGTATTCTCATCCTGCCTGCTTCTAATCCATTAAAGGGAATTTGAACATGTAAGTTGAGAAAACTGATTATATGTAATATCTTAATTGAATCTTTTGGATTTAGGGGTAAATCTGATAAATCTCAATTACTCTATAAGTGTTTATTCAGACATTAATTGTTTAAACAACCCAAAGTCTGTTTGGCACCTACAGTTTGAATATAACCAAACCTGATGTTCTTTGTCTTTAGTGTAAATATTGTCTTTGCATTTCTGTTGGGATGTTTGTTTAAAGAATACATCCTAATTAGGAAACAGAAAATTCTATCTCTTCTAAAATCAATTATAAAAAACAACCAAACTGAATAATTCTACCAGAGAAGTAAAACTTCATCTTATGTTTGGATTTGGTAGAACTCTGATCTGTGTGGATCTCAGATGAATGAATGAACGGATGAAGTTTTATGAAGGAACACATAATGTCTTCTTTCAGCCAGTCAACCAAAACTGTTTCATGTTGGTTTTATGTTGGATATTCATGACTCGTCCTCCTGTGTGTTTCAGAGAATCCAGTCCACCCGCAGTACTACCAACTGCAGGACCATGACACCAAAGTTTGTCTGGCAACAGGATTTACAAGACACAACCTAACCGAAAAAAATGTTGACTTCAAGGATACCAGCGCCAGTCCGATAAGAGATTATAGAGGAGATCCAACAGGCTACTATAACCAGGTGGTTTTCCTAGAAGGTGATAAAAACTGTTCAGGTGAGTCATATCAAGCCAAACATTCCAGCATTTAGAGAGTTGCTGTAATTTCCTGGTAGAGAGTTGAAGCTAATGATTTATTCTTATGTTTGTTTTACAGTAATTAATAAGCCAGATGACAAATGTACCTCCACTGTGGATCCAGGTAGGTGTTGGACCCAGCTGAACATTTTTTTTTCTAAACCCGTTTCCGCCTGTTTAACGGTCGTGTCCCTGATGCTTGCAGATGAGATGGTGAACCTGGCCTCCCTGACCATCTTTGGCCTCAGAGTGATCTTCATGAAGACCGTGATCTTCAACGTCCTGATGACGCTGCGGCTGTGGATCAGTCAGTGTGAGTATCGAACCGCCCTGCTCACCAGAGCGCAAACAGGAAGTTCAGTTATCACTATGATGATTAAACTTCCACTAGCACCAAGCTAACGAGCTTCCAAATAGAGCTGCTCGGATGCAAAACCTCAAATAAAATAAATAATTAACAATAAATTTATGTCGGTGGATCCAAGAAACAGTTTGAGTTAAAGGTTGATCAAACTGAGATTTTATCTCACAGGTTTTAAAGTTAAAAATTCTTTTAAAACTCGTCAGAAATAATGTTCATATTCTGAAAGTAATGCAATAAGCTCTGAGCTTTATATTTAGGAGAAAACTCATCTGAGTCAGAAAAAAGATCCAGAATATTTTCATAATGATGAGAGGAAACTAGTGGCCATGTTTTGGGTTTTCTGACCCCGTTCTGATTCGTTCTGTAACAAAATAATTTAAAAGCTTGAGAAAGAACCAGATTCGGATGGGACGGAACTGGATCAGTCAGCATCTCCTAATTTATTGCTTTCAAATGGAAAGTCGTTGAAAACAGAGACAGAGTTTATGTCCGACAGTCGCACCCAGAAACCTCTCTGGTCCGCCTGTATCCGGTTCCCATTAGAGATATTAGAACATATTTCATATATGAACCGAACTTGATCTAAAACTGGAGAAAATGTAAAGCTGGATTCATTTCTGGAGACGATTTACTGAAGGACTCATGAAGACAGAACTTTAAGCATCCAAAGGGGTTGAGTTTGTCCCGATCACCTGAACCTGTGATGTGGAGGACATGTCCAGGTGATTGTCCAGTTATTATATGAACTCTTTGTCGTTAACACAGGCAGATCATTCAAGTTTTAGCTTCAGATTAATCTTCCCAATAATCTCAGTCATTCAGCCTTTTTAAATTCGTTATTTCACTGTTGTATTTAACTGTTTTAGATCTCATGAATTAAAGGAATGTTTCTCTTTTGTTTTTTAGAAAACGACCGGAATGAAGGGAACTTCCCAGAAGAACGTCCTGATGAATGAAGTGGAGCTGCTGAAGCTTCTTTCTCTGGAAATAAAAAATGAACAGAGCTAATATCAACTTATTTTATAATCATGGGTTTTAAAATCAGTCTCTATTTCTATTTCTGATTAATGAATTGTGTTTTTTTTATTGTTGTTGTTGTAAATATGAAAATATTAATATCTATAATAGAAATATTTTCTGTTTTCTTGACCGAGTCTGTGTGAAACTTCCTGTTTGACTTAAAATAAAAACTGGTAAAAAAGAAAAAGTTTAGAGTTTGATTTTCTGACCAAATGAGGAACAAACAACTGCTAACAGCCTTAAACTGACAATTGATACTTCTAACTACAGATGCACCGATCCGATTCCTGGATTGGATATCGGCTCCGGTATTGACTAATTAGCTGGATCGATTATCAGTGATTTGATACTGGAGATCCAATTCAGTGCAGAAGAATAGAAGTCAGGGATGAAGCTTTCACTCAAATTAAAAGATATATTGTTAATTCATTTAAATGTTGAATCCTATCGGATACGGGCCGGTATGCTCAGCCCAGGTATTGGATATCTGATGCTTACTACATGAAATTGTAGATTTTGGCCAGAATAACCATTTTCTCAGCTCCATGTTGGGGAGGCAATTATTGTATTTACATACAGTAATGCCCAACAGAAGAGAATATTATTTCAGTAATTCCACCACTCTAGAAACAGATCCTTTCCAGATAGATTAATTCCTTTAAAGGTTCTCAAAATTTTATTTCAGCTTAATATGAAGATTTTCATAACATTTATTATTAAAATATGACATCATGCTACAAACACATGTATATAGAAATAAAAATATGATTAATACCTACTTAAAGGTTGTTATTTTCTAAATCAAATTTTAATCTGACAAACAGTTCTCAGCAGAAACAATATTCGTATTTATTGAATTTTTAGATTGAGCGTTTAAAAAACTGAAATGAAACAAAGCCGAAACTAAAACTATCAAAGAAAATCCTTTGCTGACACTCAGGCATAGAGAATTCTGGGATATAATCAATCAGCCAATAAATCAATAGAACAGGCCTCATGAGCCTGTTCATATGTCTACTACAACAGACGCAGAATGGCCACACTTCAAGCTCCATGGTCGACCAGAAGTATCCTGGATGGGATGAAGCAGGTCTTTTCATCAGAGACGTCAGAGTTCCTTAGTCAGTCACCTCTGAGACAATCCTTAGACTTAAACTCAACTTTATTTATCTCTATTACTCCTTCAGTGAAATTCTGGTTACAGTAGCTTATATAGAGTACAAAGAGTTAAAGCAAGTTATCATTAAATATAAAAATATGACAGACATTATAAAAGAGTGTTTATAGTACAAAAAAGCGTAAAAAATGAAAAAAGTTGTAATGTCCTGGAATATGTTTACCTTAGACATAAAAAACATCTGCATAGTAGATGCTAAGGGAAGGATTCCCAGTAGTAGACCTGGGTTATTGCACTTGCACTGCAGAACTGTAAATATACCATATAAATAAGTGAAAATTATACACAGGACTTGACTTGGATTATTGCACAGTAAGAGAGAAGAATATTGCACATGAGTGACAAAAGGTAATGTTTACCATAAGATATCCGAGGAGGGGGGGGTGCTGACCCTTGTGTCTCTTCCTATCACGTCCTCTTCCCCCCATTGAGGAGTTGTACAGCTTGATGGCTTAGGGACAAAGGAGTTCAGTAGTCTGTTGGTCCTGCATTTGGGAAGGAGCAATCTCCCACTGATAAGGCTCCTCTGACTGGTGAAGACAGTGTGCAGAGGGTGGCTGGCACTGTCCATAATGTCCAGCAGTTTGTTAGGTGTCCTCGTCTCTGCCAATCACAGAGCCGGGTCGTATGACCAGTTTGTTCAGTCTTGAGGTGTCCTTCTTGGATGTGCTGCTCTCCCAGCACATCATGTTTAGAAGAGGACACTGGCAATGACAGACTGGTAGAAGATCTTCGATAGCTTATTACACATGTTGAACGACCTCAGTCTCCTTAGGAAGTCCACCCTGCTCTGTGCAGGTCCTTGTAAATCCCTAAAAACCAGTTGTTCCTCATCAGTTAAACAAAGAACAATTCAGTTCAACTTATTTCTATAGGGCCAATTTAAAACAAATCTCATCTCAAGGGACTTTATAGAGGCATAGAGTCCGATTGGTTCAAACCTTTCTATCTGAGCTAACCCAGCCGATGCAGAAACCCAGCAGAGAGTATAGAGTCATCCAGGTTTTTATGTCTTCCGGACGTGTCTGTGATGAATTCAGTTTTCCCAAATATCACTCATAATTTCAAATGACGGTATTTTTTTCATTTCCAAATATTTCCCTTTCTTTTAATATAAAAATTGATATTTACCTTTATTCATTCAACGAAAAATCTCAAACTATATTTTGAAGTGTGCAGCTTTTGACCTGTCTAATTTTCTCGGTCAAGTTTGACTTTAAAACTTCATGATCGGACCCATGATTTTACATATTTTTTCAGCATGAACAGTTAGAAATAAATAAATAAATAATTAAAACATTTAAAAACTGCTTCCTACAAATGTTAGGGCATTAATACACATAACATTTTCACTTTATAAATGTCCCAGATATTATTGTCAGCTGTTTCACCCAATGATCATACTCCTATAAATCAGCAACGGCTTGCTCCATACTGACATCACTCCCATTGCTGGAGGGTTCAGCCTTTTCGCAGAATTTGAACACAGATTGGTATATTTAAAATCCTCCTGTTCAGTATTTCATGTTAATTACATGTTACACATTGAAAGGGTCGATTGGTTTTCAACTATATTTTTCGGTTGTTTTAATGGCAATAATGTGAGTTAATCATAGTCATTGGTTACACCTCAACAACTGTAACTAACATAAATGGACAAAAATGTTGAAAATGTCATCTACATTACCTATCAAATGTAGCACCGTGTACAGATATGCACAGTTGACCATTCAGAAATATTTCCTGTTTACCTGAACAGAAATATCCTATCCTCTCATTATCAATAAATTTGTCATTAAAGTCAACAAACTGAAATTTATCAGATAGATAAGATTTAAACCAGTCTAGAGCTGTTCCTTTAATTCCAACAAAATATTCAAGTCTTTCTAAAAGAATATTATGGTCAACTGTATCAAATGCAGCACTAAGATCCAACAGGACGAGCACAGATACAAGTCCATTATCTGAGGCCATGAGAATATCATTAGTGACTTTCACCAGAGCTGTTTCAGTGCTATGATGAGCTCTAAAGCCAGACTGAAACTCTTTAAAAAGTTAATCATGGTGGAAGTGATCGCAAACTTGTTAAGCAACTACTTTCTCAAGAATTTTAGATAAGAAAGGAAGATTGGATATAGGTCTATAATTGACCAAGTCATCTGGGTTAAAGAGACGGTTTCTTAAGCAGAGGTTTAATTACAGCAACCTTAAAAGCCTTTGGTACATATCCCTGTAACAGAGAAAGATTATTCACATCTAAAATGGAGGAGGAGACTAAAGGGAATACCTCCTTAAATAACCTGGTTGGACCTGGATCTAACATACAAGTTGAAGGCTTAGATAAGAACATTAGTTTTGCTAACTCTGGAAGTTCAACTGGATCAAAGCAGTCTAAACCCGGTTCAGATTCCATGACTACCTCAGATGCTGCCCACCTTCCAGAAAGATATCTATATATCTAAGATTACTATTAATGGGGAGAAATATGCTGCTCTACTTCTAAAAAGAGTATTTTTTATAAAGCAGTAACTGTTTTTCCATATTAAGGAGGATTATTTTAGATTTGTAGGAAAACATTTTGTCTCCAGTTTTCTCACATTTTACTTCAGTGTGCAGCTCTGTATTAAATAAAGGAGCCATCCCCCCATTAATGTCTTTCATTTTCAAAGGGGCTCTCTAAAGCTGTGTCCAGAGAAGAAATTACCCCGTTATTTCAGATTTTCTTTGACCTGGAAAAAGGGAGGAAAATGTCTAAAATTGGGGCATTGCAGAATTAGTTGCAACAATACAAATTTCAGTTTTATCAGTATTAGAAGTTTAAAGTTAACCAAGATTTTCTTTCAGATAGAGGCACAGGGAGGGAGGGCAGAAGGATTGGTTTGCTAGAAAGGTAGAGCTGGATGTAATCACCGAAACAATGATAACAAATTTGTCATTTATAGCAAACATTTCAGAGGGGACCAAGGATGCAGCACACCTTTGTTTTAATATGGTTTCTGTAGAAAAACAAACATGACACAAACATTATCAACCTTTTTCAATGTTGTAAAAATGTGTAGAATAAATATTAAGTCTCAACATTTCTGTTGTGTCATAGCTGTGACACATGTTTATATCAGTAGGCAGGATGCCAGGCAGGTACCTGTTGTAAACCAACTGGCGGCTGTATGATTGGCCATGAATCCCAAAGGGAAAAAGAAAAAAATAACTGAGGAGGTCAGAGGATTCTTTGACCAAATTATCTGCATTCATTGCCAATGCGGAACGATTGCCTGAATGTCTGCTCTGTAGTGAGAAGTTCTCAAATAACAAAAAGAGCAATGTGGAAAGACAGTTTCAGGGAAGGCATTCTACATTTGCAGCCGAGTACCCAGTTGGGAATGAGAGAAACTGTGCGATTGCATTACTTCTGCAGAAATTAGAGGAGCTCAAAAATAAATTTAAGAAGTGGATTGCATCTCCAAACTCCACTACTGCTGCAAGGTTTATGTTTCAACCCGGGAGATAATAAAATGTGGCAAACTGTTCACAGATGAAGGAGTCATTTATCAACATATCAGAACACCTATTGGCAGACTTCAAAAACAACATAGAGATAATACAAAAATGAAAGACATGCCTCTCTCCTCTAAGACAGTGAAGGAAATGGCTATTAAAATGGCAGGCAACATCACCTATCAGCAAATCAAGGACATTAATACAGTGCCAGCATACTCAATTGCCTGTGATGAGTCCTGTGATGTGATCAATATTGAACAG